CACCTCTAAGAAATGTTTCATATGTCGGCTTGTGATAATTGTGCTTAGACACAGTGAGATGAGCGTAACATTAAAATTCGAGTCGAGTTATATAATTTCATTAGATCACAATTACAACTGAAAAAAAAAACAAAATTACTTAAAAACTGAACAACTGAACTCAACTGACAAATTTTAAGCCAAGAAGCTTCACTCTTTCATACAGGAAAAACATTGTGAAAAGTAGCGATGAATGGCATAACATAATAATTACTAAGGCTCGGATTATATGCACAAAAAATTCGTAAAATATGCGCATACATATGCACGTATTTTCACAAAAATATGCACAAAATATATTTTTTAATATTTATATTTTTATATTTATATATGCTCCAATATATGCCAAATATGCATCGATATGCAAAATTTTTAACAATAAAAAAATCAAAGTTGGGATAAATTTTTATCCTCGAATACACTAAACTTTGTATTTTCGTCATCTTGAACTGCACACGATAAATGAAAGAATAAATAAATTGGTTTGGCGTGAGACAAGCCATTTTAATAACCTAGTAATTAACCCTTTCTAAAAAATCTGTACTTTTCATATCACATCACGTTTTTTGCTTAAAGTATTTATTTTTTGAAAAACTAATTGATGAATTATAAAGATCTATAGAAATTTGATGTTTTATCAAAAATAAAATTTTTCAAAATTTTTATTTTTTTGTTTTTGAGTTTTACAAAAATATTAATTTTTTTAAATGGCAACCCACCAAAAAAACATTTTTCTCATGAAGGTCCAGATCTAAGGGATTACAACTATCTACTTTATATTAAATATTTTTTTTTACATCTGTATATCGCAATTTAGACAACAAAAATCGAATAACAGAAAACAAAACAAAATTTTGTTCTTAAAAAAATATTTTTTTTTATTACTTTAATTTACATTAATTATTATTTTTGGGAAACAAATGATTTAAAAAAAACCGTTTGGTTCAATACTTTATATTCACCCAGTATAAAACGAATTTAAAAAGGAAACACTCAGCAGGGTACTAATTTTTTGAGTTTGGCTTACGAATTACCGGTTGTTTTCTCCTTAAAATATTTTGTAATCGGATTATTTTTCTTAAACTGTCCAATTTTTAACTTGAACTGAAATTTTTAATCGAAAATTAGTGATTTGAAGAAAATATGCACAACTATGCAATATTTCCAAAAATATGCACCAAGTTGCCAAAATATGCAAAATATGCATTTTTTAATGGGCTTATTTTAATCAAAAAACATTAGATATGCATAGAAAACTTTCAATTTTGTTGATGTATACGTACCTCTTAATGACAAATCTGCATTTTGCATATAATCCGAGCCTTAATAATTACATTGATTGAGATTAAAGGGTTTATATTAATGAAGCGTTAACATTTGTATTTGGGTCATTATTGGACTCTATTAGTGTTTTATATTTAAATAATAGTCATTTTAAAAATTTCTAGTGTAGTACTTATACTAAAATTTTAATTCTGCGATAATGCCTTTCAAATATTTTATGCATAATAAAATTCCTAGATATTTGTCAAACAATAGGAATATAACTATTTGAAATTAAAATGTATTTCCCTTGAAAATGTTGGAAAAAATATATTTTAACCAACTATTTGATTTAATCTTCAAAAATGTGTAATAAACGTGTTTTTAATTTTGTAGAAAATCTAAGAAGGAAACACGGATACTTCTGAATTCAGGTCACATGAAATAAAAAGAGACAGCTTTTAAAATTAAAACACCTCTAAGAAATGTTTCATATGTCGGCTTGTGATAATTGTGCTTAGACACAGTGAGATGAGCGTAACATTAAAATTCGAGTCGAGTTATATAATCTCATTAGATCACAATTACAACTGAAAAAAAAAACAAAATTACAACTGAACAACTGAACTAAACTGACAAATTTTAAACCAAGAAGCTTCATTCTTTCATACAGGAAAAACATTGTGAAAAGTAGCGATGACTGGCATAACATAATAATTACATTGATTGAGATTAAAGGGTTTATATTAATGAAGCGTTAACATTTGTATTTGGGTCATTATTGGACTCTATTAGTGTTTTATATTTAAATAATAGTCATTTTAAAAATGTCTAGTGTAGTACTTATACTAAAATTATAATTCTGCGATAATGCCTTTCAAAGATTTTATGCATAATAAAATTCCTAGATATTTGTCAAACAATAGGTATTCACTATTTGAAATTAATAGGTATTTCCCTTGAAAATGTTGGAAAAAATATATTTTAACCAACTATTTGATTTAATCTTCAAAAATTTATAATAAACGTGTTTTTAATTTTGCAGAAAAACTAGGAAGAAAACAGGGATACTTCTGAATTCGGGTCACATGAAATAAAAAAAGACAGCTTTTAAAATTAAAACACCTCTCAGAAATGTTTCTTATGTCGGCTTGTGATAATTGTGCTTAGACATAGTGAGATGAGCGTAACGTTAAAATTCGAGTCGAGTTATATAATCTCATTAGATCATAGACCCTCAGATCTATTTGCAAATAAAGCACATAAACCTGCAGTGTCGTGACATTTAGATGCGCATCGTGCTTCGTAACTGCTACACCATATCCACTAACTGTTCCGATTGCAAAATGAGATTTAAGCTCCGAATTGTATCATTATCTCTCTTCGCTACACATGATTTACTGCCGAAACGACTCTTCTACAATCATTGAATTTGCGAGAGTCTTGTTCAGATCCACTCCGATATTATTTGTTTGCTTTCGCGTATTTCAAGCGCTCAATCCATCATTCTTACACCAGACTGTCTTTTCCATTTTTGAAATATTACGACCGTCGAGGGTACGTTATAAATCATTCGCCTTTTGATCTGTTTCGTCTTTAATTAAGCCTAATCAAATTTATCGACAAAAAACGCAACCTTTAGCTTGGCTCGAACTTTATTAATCGGCCTTTTTCAGCGACATTCTGGCCGCTCGCATCTGCACTTGAGTGGTTTAGTACCGCGCTCGAAAAAGGCACACCTGAGCTCGGAACAACTTCACACTTCTCTGAATTCACACTTACATTCCTCTACTACTCATTCTCTAATCCGTCTTGGAGTTGTTTCACGAGATTTATTGCTTTCGGTTTGGTTTTTTTTGTTTCAGCGGACATTATACTGAGAGAGTGTAAAGTAAAAATGGCCAGTAACGCTTCCAATAATGGCAAAAAGCAACACAAAAAGTCTTACACTATAAAAGTGAACGTCGTAAATTGACTTTGCACTCATTTAACAGCAACAACCGGGGGCGGAGAGGTTATATAACCGGAAGCATTGTTGCAGACTTTTTCCGGGTATTACAGACTTCATTACCAGAGTATTATGGAGCACAAGGGATGGTGTGTTGGACGCAATGGGCGCTGATTTACATACATTATTAACCCTGTTGTGGTGATATGAGAGAATAAACAACATGTGCAGCCCCAATAACAAACAACAAATAAAATTTTTTAACCAAAGACCAATTATTATCTTTTCCATATTCAATGAGGACAATCATCTCTGTGTCTAGACCACACGTGCATTTTTATTCCGATAAGTGTCATTTATGGTCGTGACATTTCGTATTTTTTCAAAGAGAGAGATTTGATCCGATACTTTGCGAAATGCCATTTTCCGATATCTGTAGATGAAAAAGCTACTATTGATACAATTGTTTTTATATCTGTGGCGAGCAGGACTGCTGCTCCATTGTATGCCAACAATAAGACCATAAACATCCATCCGGATTCGTGTACAATGCCGCAGATGCTACACCATTCGAAACTCTATCGATTAAGTTCAAACCAAAGTAATGCTTCTTTCGCGCGTCTCCTGTCTTTGAAAGTTCAAGGAACATTGTTGCTGCATCCGTAAACTAATCAAAAGAATCACTAATGGGAAATCGACAAATTGCAGTCAGAAGAAAAGAATTTATAACGAAGAATTTTTAAATTAACTTTGAAACGATGCAAAGTTTGCGTTGGTGCATCGTATTCACCTCATGAAATCGGGAGGTGTTTTAAAAGAAGAAAGTCTGATTGGACACAGAAAATGTGTTGTATAATAATCTCAGGAAGACGAGATCGGTATTTTATACATCCAGAAACTTTCAACGAACTAAGATTTGAATACATAAATGTTTCCACTTTCCTATACAGACACAACCATTCTTACAACAATATTTTCACATTTAAAGACACGTTTTCGTGTTTTCTTTAAATTGCTTTTATTCTTTATTAAAAGAAATTATTTAAGCAGGATTCGAATAAACTTAATTGAAATATTAAGTTTTCTCATCCACAAACAATTTCTCCTATAAAAAAACGTAAGTACCTATTTTTGCCACAACAAAAAGTTTTCCATTTAATAAAATATGTTTTTAGAAATAAAATAGATATGTTTAAAAGATTTAATTATTAATTTATTAAATTATTACCCTTGTACACTAAATGTTCTACTAGTAAAAAACACTTTTTAGTTTTAAGCACGTATTAATTTTTTAAACCATATCAATTCTCGAAAAATCAACATCTAAATTATCTAATTTTTTTTGGCAGTTTGACATAACTATGTGCCTACACCAGAAATAGCTGTTTTTAATTTCCGCTACATTTTTAAAATGTAAATTATATTTTTCATTTTTCTCTGGATTTTTATTTATTTTATGCAGAGTGAAATACTGCAACTTTTTGTTTGATTTCATTTATTATTGTTCTTGGCGTATGTGCAACATGGTAATAAAGTAATTGCAATTGTTATTAGCTAAAACATACATTGGAATACTTTGCAAGTTGTAAGTAATTGTCGTTGAACAAAGCCTTGATAAATGTTCGCCTGAAATCTATTTATAATTCGCGTCTCCTCGTAGTGCCAGAACAAATTTAAACTCTGAACATAGGTAGTTTTGCGCGTTATCTCTCGTCATTAAAGCATTTTCGTAGCAGTGTTATAAATTAAATTAATAATGTCACCGAAGAATCAAGTTCATCCTTTAAGTTATTTGTGCATAAAGCTCGTTTCAGCACAGTTAATTCAGGCACTTTCAGATGACGAAGGTCGAAATTACGACGTAGTCTCTGAGTATTTATTCGATGCCACTTATGAAGTTGTTCAAGAGTTATTAAAAAATATCTTAAATTCCGTAAATCTGGATGCCGCTACGAGGTTTAGTTGTTTGCAAGTTTTACTTCGACAAGACGTTAAGAAACTGGATACAGGAATCTTCCCCCATTCCTATTACGAAGCAATATTAAAAGTTATAACTCAAAAGGGTACAGGCCTGCAGCAATTAAACCTGAAAGGAGTGTGGGTTAGAGACCACCCGACACAACTCAGCGAGTTAGTCACAAACTTGACGAAACTAAAAATTCTCGTTATACCACACATGGCAGACGATCAAGTTTTACAAGCAATAAGCAAAGCGCAGTCTTTATCAGTTTTGGATATTTCAGGAGAGTGTTCGTTTACAATATCTGGCTTGAAGCTCATCAGGAATGAAACACTAACGTGTGTGGATATAGGATATTTCGGTAAAAAATCCATTTGTCAACAAGATGAATCGGATTGTGACATTATAGCTGAAATGATCGAAAATCTGCCAAATCTTACTTGTTTGCGCACTTATTCTTTCACGGGAACGTCTCTATTGACGTTATACAAGAAAAATTTTAAACACAAAACCCGACTGAAATATCTGCACGACACCGGCACAACCGACGAGGTTATTGAAGCAATAATCAACATGTGTGAGCAGCTGGAAAGTATCCATTTAGACACGCCCCAAAAAGGAGTAATCTGTCGATTGAAGCAGCTCAAAAAATTGAATTGCATCAAACTCGTCCATCACGATAGCGGCGATCTATTGGATTATCTGACCAATTCAGGGACAGGGCTTCAGGTTCTCAAATTAAACCACAATAAAAGAAATTCGCTGGATTTGTGCGACGTCTGTTTATGCGTTCCCAATTTACACACTCTGGAATGTTTTCAACTGAAATTGGCTTTCTCGCAAATGGACACTTTTTTCATGAATTTGGAAAACATCGAGATTCTTTATTGCGACATTTCAGATTCTTCCATCAAGTGTATTTTAATGAACTGTCCTTTTCTAAAACGTGTGATAATCGGATGTGTAATTAACATGACCGATGGAGACATATTCAGACTGTGTGCGGAATGTGATTTCTTGTGTTTGGAAGAGTTGTGGTTCTCTTGCGCACGGGGACTGACCTGTATTTCGGTAGAACTTTTGATGGGACATTGTCCTAATTTGAAAGTTTTGGGGCAATTAAGCGGCTGGGATATCCACCAAGAAGAAATTGAGTATCTAAGATCTGTGATATTGTACACAAACACTGACCTCACCTTGTTACCTTTGGGAACCTTTTCTTGAATTATTGTTGATTTTAAATAAATAAAATTGAGTATTGCTTATTGTTTTATTCATAGTTTAGTTTGGTCCTGTTTAAAAATTAACTCTTCCATTGGAAATCGATACGATTGTAATTTTACACGGTGGTAACCTAAAAAATTCAGCAAGTTATTTTAGTCTATCTGATGTGAAAATAATTTGATTATTGTCATTCCGGATGTTATTAAAACATGAATTTTATGAACAATTTCGACGCAACAGTTTTGAGTTTCATCAGTGGTTTTCGTGTCCTACATAATTTATCTCAGCCCTGGATTTGAATGTGGACATTTGTGGTGATTATATCGTGCTTAATAGTGCAGCCACACCGATTGAGGTAGTTTTACCGGATGAAAATCTGTTAACATAAAATTTTATTATCGGTTTTAATTTGTCCTACGCGCAAATTAGAAACTTGTTCACATTGACAAAATTTTAATATCGGTCTGATTCACACTGACGCAGATTAAATGGCCGCTGGATCCGATAAGAGCTGCATTTAGCCAAAATAGAATAAAAAGCACATTCGTCTGTGCTTTTCTCCGAATAATTCAACTTGTTTTCTCCTTTGCAAACGTTTAACGGAAGTTATTCGAATGCAAATTTCGAGTGAGGATGCTAAGACTAGCGTATTTTTGTTCCATTCTGAATGGACAAAGGAGAAGGTTTTTTCGTCGTTCTTTGTGGTCTTAATGTTATACCTAAGAGTAGCAGTTACCGGAAAGGCGGCTCATTTTAATAGAACAAATCGAGAATGATGACTTCAAAGTGTCACCCAGTTTCATATGAGTGCAAGAAAATTGCACTTTTCCCCGATATGACGTTCCATTGCAGCCGAGTCTCATTTACTCGCTTATCTTCAGTTTTATTACTTTCAAATATCGGAATTTATGACCTCTAAAACCAGGTTTTTTAACCGTAATGTATTTTAGTATTTCGAGCTTTTACGAGCAAGTTTTTGTAAATGGGACGGTTTTAATTGAAAATGGGGTTGCAATGGTCAAGATTCGGAAGTTGTTAATATGGTGGTAATTACGAAATGAAAACTGGCACACCACAGGAATCCCAAGTAAACTGCAGGAATGCAATTATGTTTGCATAATACACTTCCTGCAGTCCCAGCTTCAGCTGTTCATTGCCTGCCAGCTTCAGCCGATATTACCACTTTCAAGCGAGCTTGTATAAAATCTGGGTTGAAATTGCATTTTAAATGATAGAAAACACGAATTTCGAGCTAACGAGATCGAGAGAAAAACTGCGTTAAGGTGCCATGTTGTTTCATAAATCTCCATTTACTCGTACATTTTGATTATCTTTTGGTCAATTAAGTGCATAGTTGAGATGACACAAGACCCAGCTGCAAATGACCCGACCTATCTATTGACCGCCATCCCGGCCATTTGTAACCCTATAATACAACAGTTTATCAATATTTGAATCCTAATTGATATTTCCAGCTACAAGTCCATTATTGAGCCTCATTACGTTGATAAAGTGTTAGTGCGTGAATCTTGAAGCGACTAAGAAAACCGGGACAAAATGTTTTATGGCTGTCGCTTCCTGCAAATAAATATTCTTGACTATACCTGGAATTAAACTCGATATTTTTGGGCGCAGTCGAACTATCGAAATATTTATCTCTATCTGCGCAAAAATGCTCGCGATCTTTTACAATTATCGTGAAATGGGAACTTTTCTGTTTTATTTTTTTGTCGAGGGTTTGTATCACGCCGAGGTGATGTCAAGCTACATTTAGCTCTTTTAACACCGGGGAAAGATATGTCCTTATATTATGTATCACGGCGAGTGACTTCAAAAGAATACGTTACTTTTTGACTTTGATAAGATCAGAGCTCATATATTCCTAAAGAAAAATACGTTATGGAAAAACCGTATTGAAAATATAATACGGGACGCTCTTGATAACAGTACAGTTAGAGATTTCCGACACAATTAAATAGCAAATCGAGAAAAATTTGACTAATTGATTCTATGAAACTGTCGTTTTTACTTGTGATTTTTACTGATACAATGATTCCATTAAACACATGTTCTTTTATTTTTTCTTTTATTTATTTATATTTTTATTTTATACGACTCTGTGCTTATGAATAGAGCTTTATTCGATTTGTTTTATCCAGAGATGACGTGTTTCTACTTGCTAAATCCGGGATTTCTGTCGGGTTGGGGTGAACGCAATGGGACGAAGGTAGTGACGAATGCATGGAGCGTAAAATTGATGTCGCGCATTGAACATGGGGACCAACAGGCCCTCCACCTGCCCGTTCCAATGAACTCCAATGTATTTATTTATCAACTGTCAACGGGCTGCTGTTTGATCATTCGTTTTTATAAAACACTCGTTGAGAGCAGACAGTGTTATTAGTACAAATATTTTTGCAATAAATTCGGGGCTAATTACACAAAAACCGTTTTTTGTAACTAAATATCTATTCGGGTAATACGAACAAGCAGGGGCGGACTGGCAAATTTTTATATGGAGTGCTAAGTTGAAATGAGGGCCCAATCAGTGGCGTAACTACCCACCCGACAAAGCCCGCGGCCGCGGGGGGGCCCTTGGGATAAAAGGCCCTTTCCAAATTAAAAATAATAATAATAATAATAGTAATAGTTTAAAAAATTTCAAAGCGAGTACATAAATTATTATAGGCCAATACATTAAATAACAAAAAACTTCAGAATTTTCTCTTCTACGAGCGTATTCAGTGTCGAGCCGAGACCGAACGCTGAGGAAGACAAAACATTTCGAGGAACTACAATCCTGGAAAGAAATTGTTTTGTGTTATAATTTATTTCAGTTCGCACCATATTATCAGCTGTTAATAATGCTATTGCCCGTGTTAATTTTAAGTTCGAACAAGCACTTTTGATCGTGATCTAATCTGTGAAAACTACTTGTTTAAGATTTTAAGTAAGTCAGTAAGTCTTATTTTTTATAAAAAATAATGAATTTGAATTTTGATAATAATAGGTACAGTTGCGAAATTAAAATTTTGGGCAGTATTTTTCTGTCACTTTAAAAAGTTCATTGTAAACTACCCTTTATGGTCATCATGACTGACATTTGACAATTATAAACTTTTCTGTCGGTGCCGCAGTCAGTTTGAATTTTTCGCAAAGCCAAAAATATGCCAAGAGTTACTCTTTTCAATAAAGTAAGGGTGATAACATTCACTGAAAATGGAATGTCGCAGAGACAGATTGCTGAAAAAAAATCATCATTTTGATCTGCTGCCTACCCGTTATTATGCCACAAATCACTATTTTTGAAAATTAGTCAAAATGACCTAAACATGACAAGAGTAAACATGAGGTTATTAATGTAAAGGTTGTTTTAGAGTTTACATTATGAAAATGACAATACTTCCAGAAATTTTAATTCCGCAACTGTAGGTACATGTATTTTTATGACGTCAAAATTAATTTAAAAAAATAGGAAAAAGGCAAAAGCACTTAATGGTAGTGCTTAAAGAATACGAAAAGGAGAGAAGAAGTTCGTCGATTGGCATCGCTTGTATATTCGTATTTGCAGAATTTTTAATACTGGAGAATATGTCGTCATCTAGTTTTCCTAATGACATAACTGCTCTTTTACTCTATTTAACTCTCGAACCGGAGAAGAGAGGGGCCCAACAGACGTCTTTCGCGGGGGGGCCTAAATTTTCTAGTTACGCCACTGGGCCCAATATACAATACAATAAAAATATGTTTAAAAACCACTTGTCACTCAATGTAGTAATTTTTTTTTGAAGGTGTTTGTTTCCTCTATTGAGATTGTTGTTGAAATCATGATGGTTTAATAAACGAAAATAAAGTTTTTAGATGAACGTCTTCAGAGGCTGCTTGTAATTTTAATTTTTGTTTTTCTTTTCGTTTTTGTGCAACAAATTTATACTTATGTTTAGATTTTTCTATTATTTATGCCCACTACATAATAATTAAAAAAAATAAATTAATATTAAATTAAAAACGATATTTTATATCGGTTGATTAAAAAATGTGTGGCATAATTTTAATTACGAATACCCTTTTACAATTGAGAATAGATAGTACAGTATTTATTGACTCACCTCAAAAAATAGAAAAATTACAACTTTCCAAAAATGATTTTCTGGAAATATTTTTGTTACCGTTTATCCGATTATTATTAAATTCTGCATGTTAAAGGACAAAAAGACAATCTAGCAATGGGTCCTCCCAGTTTCGGAATCATAACTTTTTTTCGGCTTATTAATTTCTGTTTTTGATACAGCCCAATAATTTTTTTTTTATAAAAAAGGTAGTTTCATATCGCCAAGATGTACCTTTCTCGAGTTATTTGAGTTTAAACTAAATTCTACACTGCAGTGGAAAATCAGAATTTATAAATTTTGAGCGTACCTTGGAAACAATCCACTACGAATGACATTGTCACATTTAATGTAAATTTCATTAAATCTAAAGGAACATTTGTTTATTTCTTGATGATTATAAAAGCTGTAATTTTTCTATTGCTTGATGAGTTAGATTAATAAATACTGTGCTATCTATGCTCATTTGTAGATGAGTATTCGTGATTAAAATTATGACACAAATTTTTGAATCACTTGTATAAATCCACGAGGAATTTTTCTAACATGCGTGTAAGACCTTATAGACAAAATTGGGATAAAATCATGGAAATTATAGAAATTATAGTTTTATTTGTTATGATAGCATTTTTTAATTCCTTCAAACTAAACACACTTAGCTTTTGCAAAAATCGCAGTTCAGCACTTCATGGATGCGTTGTGGAAAGTTTATTTCCAAATTTAAAATTATTGATATTATTTCAATGAGCTTTTGACATAATAAGCCTATCATAAATGCTGTGGCACCCTGGCACCCCTAGCCAGTCCGCCCCTGCAAACAAGACTACAATGTTTAAGCAACATATTCGAAATTTTTGCTTAAAATCCGGCATTTGTTTTTATAGACGTGCTATTAAACCGTCCTTCGCGTAAATCTCGTCGAAATGAAAAGTAATTTAAGAGCGCCTTTCGTGTGATGATCGATGCTGAAAACAACATCCCTAAATTCATCGAAATTGCGAAAACTTGAAAAACAGTCAAAGTTAAATCGAAGAAACTCGCCAAGTTTAAATCGAATTTTGACTAATTACATCCTCTAATTTGTTTTACAAGTGTTGAAAAGTAGCTGGGGATATTTTTTTTACTTGTTCGTTCGCATAAGTGGCAAACTTCGACAAGTTGGAATATATGGTTTGACCGGTCGGGTCGGCCTGAGTCAAGCAGGGCCAAACTCGAGTATCCAAGATAGACGACGTAATAGTTTGCCTTCTTTTGTTTTCCACGTCATTTATCACGACCACTTGATCTAAACTAAAATCACACCGTTTGATTTTTGTTTCTTTTGTTGGAAAATTGCTCGTGATTTAAGTTATATATGAACCGTCGGATACAGAAGCAACACTGCGCTAAAACACGACAGTTTTACTATTTTTAATGTAACTCAGACTTGGGACCGATTGAAAAAGTCCTAACTTTTAAGTGACAAACATTTTTATTATTACTGCAAGGATAAAGAAACAAACAAGTCAACTAGATGTTAATACTATAGTAAAATGAACACGGAATATTTCATTTTATATCTCTTAAATATGGCAAGAGCCATTCTTTTGTTACTCCGAAATACGAGTTCTAAATTTTATTACACTTTTATATCGAGACGGCTCGTTTCTAAACTGTACTGTTTTCTTTATGCTCATTTTTAACCACGAATACACTTACATTGTATGCTTCTATCAAAATAAATAAACACTTGGTAAATTTTCAATGAGCAATCACACAAAATGCTAGTTCGTTTAAATCTGCACGACTATTTTATTAGTTGTGTTATAAAATCAAAAAAAAATTCTGCACTTGACATAAAACTCTTGAGACTTTTGGTTAAACGTGACAGACTTTGTTTGCTTCAAAGATTAGTAGATATCGATACCTGTCTTAACTCTCCAGGAGTTCTTTTAGTCTTTATGGTGCTGGCGCCTGTCTCTTGAAAGCTTGACTTTTCTCGAAAGTCAACTACTGGTTAAGAATCAGAAATTTTCCGAAACGAATAATCTAAGCATCTTTTTGCTTGTTTCCGCGTCATCAGCGCGTTTATTACCCCCTTCAATGCAAAAAAAGGGAAATCAAAACAATATTTACCGAGCATTGGGCACGTTTCGTATTAGACGAAGGAAAGTATAAGGAGAACGGTTGATTTGAAAATTCCTTAAATTTTATTTTGAGCTTTGCGAGTGGAGTTTGGCGCCAAGAGTGGAAACTAATGACACAGAAAATGGAATCACTTTCAAATCCATTTGTTTCAGAGCGGATATGGTGGGCCAATTGCAGTTCTTGCTGCAAATTAAACTCTAGCCGGTAATGATGTCACGTGTCGAAAATGATGCTTGCAAACTTTCATCAGATTGGAGCTTTTATTGACAGTTAACAGATTTACGGGTCACTGACTTTTTGTTACTTTTTGGAAAGAAAAAAAAAACAAATTTTGTATACAAACATGACTTTTAAAGAAGATATCGTTATTACACAACAAAGGCACACTACAAAGTGCTCTAGAACGACTTGAGTGAAAGCCAGGCTTAAGTTTCACAAATGGATCTTTTATTATTTAGAGAGGATTATTGGCTTAAGCAGGTATACCATTTAAAAGCCAATTCTTGCAATAATTCCCTCCTGAATACTTGAACAGCCTACAAGTAATTAGTAACCGATCCTAAGCACAGTTTTCGCTCAGTTGCCGTGAGAACCTCAAAGGAATAAAATGTTCAGTTTCAAACAATTTCTATTTCTAATTTCTTTCAAGTTTGCAATTTCTTCGTATTTCGATGAAAATATCAGTGAAATTCAATGTAAATGTGTCCCACCGCATTTATGTGCGGATCATGATGAAGCTGCCAATGGACAGGGATTATTGGATATCCGGTAAGTAAAAGATAAATTGCAGTAGGACCTGACAAATTGCGTTTGTCGCAAAACCACACAGAATTGCGGTTTTGATTCACCATGTCAAATACAGTAAAACCTCTCAACAACGGACACCGATGGGGAATCTTTAATTGTCCGTTGTGAAGAGGTGTCCTTTAATGGGAGGTGAGCAAAATTAATAAAAAAATTGAAACGCTTTTTATTCAAAATAACAAAAACAAAATTATTCTGACCATATAGTTCTTAAAATACAGGGTGTTCCGTTTTTATTGTTACAAATTTAAACAGGTGATAGCATATTCAATTCTAAGACAAAAGTTTCCTATAATCGAAAAATGATTGGAAGGGGGCTAATATGTTTTTGCTAATATTTCAGAAACCATTTAAGTTAAAATTACAAATTTAATACAGATGATAACCTTTATACACCTAAACGAATTCAAACATCAAATGTCGAAATTTTTAATCAAGGGCGTACGAAACTGGGGGAGTTTAAGGTAAAAAATACCCTATTTATTTTGGCTTTAGTTTCTCGGTACTTTCAGCAAGAAAATCTTAAATTCGATAGTTTATCAGATAAAAGTCTCTCTTGTGTCGATACGACTTATTGTTTTTGAATAAAATTAATTTAAAATTTATGTTACACACCAATACAACATTCAAATAAATCAGAATTTACAGAATAATAAAAGCAAGGAATTCATATTTTTTAATAAACCTCAACTAATTAACATTACATTACAGTAACAATAATAACATTAATTAAATGAATTTGCCTAAGTGACCACCATTTTGGTCAATGCATAACTAAAGAAACTAAAGCCAAAATAGATAGGGTATTTTTTTACCCTAAACCCCCCCAGTTTCGGACGCCTATGATTAAAAAATTCGAGATTTGATGTTTGAATTCGTTTAGGTGTATAAAGGTTATCATCTGTACCAAATTTTGTAATTTTATCTTAAATGGTTTCATAAATATTAGCAAAAACCTATTAGCCCCCTTTCAGGGGGTGTAGCCCCATTACCAAGCATTCTTCGATACATGTTTATAGGAAACTTTTATCTTAGAATTGAATATCCTATCACCTGTTTAAATTTGTAACAATAAAAACGGACCACCTTGTATAATTTGATTAATGCCTTGCCTCTACGTGTTTAAATTAAAGTTTTAATGTAAATTTGGTATTTTGTACTCAAGTCAAAGTAAAAGTAAGTACTGCGTAACAGAACTCTATGCAAAACATGCATTATAATTTATTAGCTAAATTTGAAAAAAAATGTTTATGTGAATTTTTACTCTGATACAATAGGTCTGCTGTTGATGGGCGAAGCATTCATCTTCTTACACTTTATGGACTATAAAAGCATTACAAAAAAAATAGAAAAAAACATTTTTATTTGAAAACGTCGTTAATTTTTGTTTGTTTAAACCAAAAGTTATTTTTATTACGTTTTAGGAGTTTGTTACTTTAACTAACAAGTTTTTCTTTTATTCTGTATTCTGCAATTCATTAATTGGATAATTGAATCTTATATTACTTTAGAGTAAATCGCTCTGTCGGCCTGTCCGTTGTAGGAGGTAAATTTATATGACATTATGATAATTGGGGCAAATTTCATGTCCGTTGTAGAGAGGATTTTTTACATTATATTTCTATGTATTAGTTACGTTCCTTCAAAAATGTCCGTTATCAAGAGGTGTCCGCTAATAGAGGTTTTACTGTAATTTATGGCGAGATAACCTAAGTTTCCAGCTACATATGAAGTCAATTATTTTTTTTTTAATTTTTTTTTCTTATTTAGATTTGAGGACGACTCTTGCCCGAATCATTTTGACGTCTGTTGTGAGACTCCTTTAGAAACCAGTCCGAAACCCTTGCCGTCAAAAAAATGCGGTTTTGCAAATTCTCAAGGTATTGGCCCGCGCATTACATCCGATTCGGAAGTGGTTCAATTCGGGGAACTCCCCTGGACTGTCCTTGTTTTTGTAACCTCGCAAACCGTCGAAAAAGCGCCGTTAATATGCGGGGGTTCCTTAATCCACCCTCAGGTGGTTCTAACTGCCGGTCATTGCGTCTCCACCACCTCTTCTGACACTGTGAAAGTGCGAGCAGGCGAATGGAACATCAAGAGAACAGACGAACCCTACCCTCACCAAGACGAATTTGTGAAGGAAATCCTCGTTCACCCGCAATACAAAACGGGCACTTTATGGAACGACATAGCTTTGCTTGTTCTGAATCAAGCATTTGTTGTGAAAGCAAATATCGGCTTCATTTGTTTGCCGGGGGGAAAATTAAAAGTTGATGAGAAGCGGTGTGTGGCGAGCGGTTGGGGACGCAAAGCGACGGCGAGGGGAAGATTGTCGGCGGTTTTGAAAAAGGTGACGGTGCCGTTAGTTGGAAGGAATAAGTGTCAAAAGGCACTGAGAGGGACCAAGTTGGGGAAAGCGTTCAGGTTGCACAAGAGTTTTATGTGTGCAGGAGGGGAGAAGAACAGGGATGCTTGCAAAGGAGACGGAGGAAGTCCCTTGATTTGTCCCTTGGAGGAGGAAGGGAGGTTTGTTCAAGTAGGAATTGTTTCGTGGGGGATTGGATGCGGAGGAAATAAAACGCCAGGGGTTTATGTCAATTTGCCGATGTATACGAACTGGGTTGATAGGCATATGAAAGAAAGGAATTTTTCAACTAGTTATTATAAGGTGTAGAAAACTACACTAACCTATGTTTTTGTAAATATTGAAAGAACTAATAAATTATTTTTATATGTAATGTGTATGTATTTTTTCATCTCGAATTTTAATTAGTATTTTAAGAATGAATAAAAAATGTTATTATTAACTTATTGTAAGCTTAAACACACTTTTGAATTCTAAACACAGAAATTTTTGTAGTGTAACGTTTCTGCGTACTTTATGTTAACTGGTTATTAATTTCAACAAGTGAAGTAGACAACCTAAATAAGTTTGTGGTGGTTATTTGAAATTTAGCGTATTTTCAAAAAATAATGTATGTTTTTTCTTTAAATGAAAAAGTCAAACAGTTTTAACGTTAGCACCACTAGTAAATTCATTGGTAATTGGTGGTAATATTAATAAAAGAAGTTGGCACTTTCGATTTTTAATTTAATTTGAAACCATGTCATTAAACGTCAACAAAAAAATCGTCTAAAAAAATTTAGAGACGAAAACACAAAAACGAGGACAAAGCCGGTATCGCCAACAGTTTTTGGAAATTTTGAGACAAGTGTGCAAGCAGAAGTCAGAAAAAGACCACCGTGAAAATTTAGACGCAATTTTAATGCAATGTAATTTTAAACATTCTCTAATTTTTGGCAAGAAATCGACAAGAATACAAAATAAACATGAATGAGCAAAAACGCAATTAAATGAGTGTCTGGTTTCACCATTTTTGAGGAACCAGTTGAAAAAGTAACAATTTTAAAGCTAAAGCGAGAAAAGAAATTAGGATATGCCTGAACTTCGTGCTCAAATTATACAAAATTTATTGTCTATCTTCATAATACCTGTTTGTATCCTATGCAAAATAACACAAGATTCATAAAAGTCAATATTTTGACAACATCTCAACATGAAAACATAACCATAATTTTTTAACAAAATTTCTAGGGACAAAAACAAAAAGCAAACAAAATTTGTGGATATAGAGATAAGCTGCTACCAATTTTTTCACCAAAATTTTGACTTGGAGATTTACATTTATATAAAAAAACAGACTTTACTGAGAATTTAGTGCTTTAAAAAATGACAGACGTTAATTTTTGACACATTTTCATGTCTTAGTCCAATTTACTCCAACAAAATTTTGCTGCACTAGTTTTTCATGAATTCGATAGTACATGAGTATGCCATCTATATATCCTATATAAAATATCTCTATTATCATGTAAGTACCTTAGTTCTTTTGTTTCCGATGTTGTCGGATTTAAATTATTGTTAAATTTGCTATTTCTTAAATGTTTTATGTATATAAAACATTATGGTATCATAAGGGGCAAATTGATGATATTTATCAATGGGTATCTGTTTAATGTTGCAAGATTTGCCGTTTCCGCTAATTAAATTGAAGGATACCTGATCTGAACGGCTAAAAACTTTACCCAAAAATGTATAACTTTTGAAGAGTATATTTCGTAAAAAAAGCTTAAACAAATATCATGTCATAATTATGATCGCCTTGGTTTTAGATATAAACAGTAGATAAAAATTCTACTTTATCTACAAGAGAATAAAAAACTTGTTTACCTCATATTAGTAGAAAAAAGTAAAAATTAATATTTAGTACAGAATAAAAAAACTGCTATGGTTTAAAGAAAAGACGATGCAAGTAAAACTTTTTTTTGGATCAATACACATAAATACACTGATCAAAACACACAAATATCGTGGAGCACGAATGAGTAATAATACAGGGTGATTCAGATAAGATAATGAGCCCGACGTTCTGGCGATGCAACCCAAAAAACAAATATCATTTACATTTTGATCTAATTTTAATTACGATTTGCATTTGCAATACAAGTTATCTTATGTTGCTCTGACAGTGCAATTTATGATTTATATAAAAAACTGTTTGTCTACCTTTAATATTTAATTCTTTCATACATTTTGTATTGGGTTTACACCGAAAAGACTTCTCTATCATTTCGCGACAACTGAATGGCACTAATAATCGTTCTCTGCACTGATGTCAGAGTGACATAAGATAATAACTTGGATTCAACTTGCAAATCCTAATTTAAATTGTATCAAAGACGTAAATAGAACTTGTTTTTTGGGTTGCATCGCTAGATCGTCAGGCTCATTATCTTATCTGAATCGCCCTGTATAAATGCTACACGTTCAGCTGATGCGAGCCATGGGCACCGCCATATTGGCCTTATTGACCCATAATCCGTGACCGGCTGTAATGCGACATGCGATAGATGGACGAACATTTTTGAAGCGATAGAAAAAAAGTTTCACTTTAAAATATATGTATATTACTTTTAAACATAATAAAAATTATGTTCTACGAGTATAACCTTTAATTTAATAAATATTGACAGCATTGACAATGATAGTTGTTCTTGACTCACGCTATACATAGATCATGTAGAGTTTAAAAATTATGGTGTCTTTTGAGAGGAAATCCCTCATTTGTTTTTCCTTTTGAATGGGGTGAACTTGAAGTTTTTCTAAAAATGTCCATTAATCAAATTTGTGTGGTTGAAATGATCCTTAGATTTAGTTGTCGTATCTTTGGAAATGAAAGATAGTTCAGTTGGAATTTAAGCCGTCACCTACAATTAAGTGTGGAGAAAGAAAGAGCTTGAGGACACGCGTCATAAATAAGATATTGACATTTTTGTATCGGAATAGACGAGCATATCGTTAGCCGAGCGTGCAAGAATCTGTATGGAAGGCGAGAGATAACGGCCTCAGCGTTAGACAGCAAAAACTAGACGAGCTGAAACAAAGGCGGCACGCAAACTGAATGGAAAGTGTGCTGAAACGCTCTAACACTCTTAAATGACATACAGTCACACACGGTGACTGCCTTCTCATCGGCTGTCGGCAAGCAAGAATTCCGTCAATTTTTGCACTTGCTCATACCGGGGCTAAACGTCGATATATATTTGCATGCCGACGGTGACGACAAGCACAGATTCTTCATTTCGGTATGTAGAGAAATGCGGCTTTCATGCTGGTTGACAAGTATTGAAGGAGAAAAACGAAAAAAATTTACAAAGAATTGCGACTTGGGGTTACTTGACCTAACTAAAACCGCCTGCATTTTGCATATTCATACAGTGAATTTCCTGACGTGTGTCAGAAACGGCAATTTGTGTATTTCTGATATTTCCTGTTCTGCAAACTCGCCAGGGCAGGTATAACAATTGTTAGTTGTCTCCATTTTTATTTTTTCAAACACACTTGTGTCAATAATCCAATTAAGTCGATTCATACGGTGTATTCCAATTAGAGTCAATTTTGTCCAATTTGTCTAATGAGTGTAATGTGTCGAGTGAGAATTTGCTTTTAATCAGAAAGGGATTCATTCTGGGAGCTGTCTATACAAATGATTTATGGAGGTAAATACTGAAACGCTTCGATATAAAATTGAAGAAAATATTTAGTGGGGAAATAGATATTATGTATGCATAAGTTGAAAATTTGATAGAAGTTATGTGGAAGATAAAAAATATAAAATCCATTGTAGGATGCAAGATAGATAGGTGCTCGAACTACGATCTCGGTTTTAGTGAGATTATCTGCCAGAAATATGAGCGAAACATTTCCCACTAGAGAGCGAAATAGAATATTATCTTTGTCTTTTATTCGAAAAATGTTATAATAATTTGGCTCAGTGGTAAAGAAAAGAGATAAGTCTGGGAGCTTGTCGGCCTTGTGTAATAAATTGCCTCGTGAGGGTGTTATTTGGGTTTTGACCGTAATTTGTTAAAGGATTAAAGCGACACGAATTTTCAGGTTTCTATCAAATTTATCGATCTAAAACGTAGAGAAAAGTGTACAAAAACAGTTGCGCTTTTGTATCTACTTACTCAAGGTGCAAGAACGCTCTCAATGTGAAGTTGATGAGTCTTAGTCGAGCCGTATTTCATTAAATAAGACAACCGAAACTAATTTCTGTAGCTTCTCGGAAGATATTTAGAATAATAGATCTGCAAAGTAACTATTTGTGTTTTGTGAGTCTCTTCATGAATATAAATCAAGGTTTCGTTATTCCGTAATTCATTACTCGGTACACTTAAGTGGGCTTTTTTGATGTAATCCCAAGGAGTATGTGAATCGCGGAATGTTTTTCTGTGTGGTGGAATGTGTTAGGGGTGCGAATGAGGAATGCTTTGCTCATTTGCTCACAGAGCGGGAAGTACTGCAGTGATATACATCATACACGTGACGTCTACTAGCGAATTAGCAAGTTAATTATAATTGTAAGTGACAGCTTGAAATTTGTATTCTGTCTGCAAGACTCTAAACATGGCCTGTAGGAGGAATTATTATCTGTACCTACCAAGAACTCACCGACATTATTCATATTTCATTCCGATTCCTTCACAACAGATTGAACTATCATCCAATAAAAAAATTACAAAACATATTTTTAAAACAATCTTATTTTTTCACAATTTAACACCGCTTGGGCCTTACAAATTTAACAAAAAAGATTACAAACTAAATACCAGTCAGCCTCATAAAGTTTGTATATGTTGGTACTGCAACTGATCTATAATAAAAAAAAACAAGTGTTTACTTAAATTTCAGAAAATGCAAAACACGTTGTTTGATTATATTTTAATATTCTTAATATTGCAATTTTTTTAAATCTTGGTCTGTTAACAAAATGCCCGGAAACGGTGAAAATAGTAAAATAACAAAATAGAAAATTAATAATTGCAGAGCATTTTAACCGATTGCATTGTTATTTTACAACCAGAAAAGCATACTTCAAATCGAACACATAGAGATAGTATAGTTGTCAGCTGTTTCGGAATGATTTTAGGTATTTGGTGTTGTTATTGTTGTTTTCTTGCTAGTTACTGACAAAAAATAAATTTTATTGCATTTTGTAACTATAAATTTGTTTCTAATTAAGTTGAGCTTTTTTTATAACATACGGAATCACATTCGGTATCTGTAACAACGGCGAAATCTCAATTTTTACACCAAATTCTCCAAAAATATTATAGCTATCAAGACGACAAGAGTTTTATAGATACCTAGTTTAAAAATCGAAGTCGTAGGTTAAATTCGAGCGACCATTTAGAAGTGAGAATTTAATAAACCTAAAATGTGACTCAGTGACTCTTGTCAAAATTAACCCTTAGACGCCTATGCCTTTGAAACAAACGTAAGTACCCATGCCGGGGTCTTCTAGGGACCCCATTTGAATTTTTATTTTTTTAAGTATATAAAACACAAATCGTTATTTAACAAATAAAAAAACTTTTAGGACTTGTTTAAATTATATCTAAATACAATTTAGCAAAAAAGAACAACAAGAACACTTTTAGACGTATGCAAAACTAAAATCTAAATAAATACATCTGAAATACATATGAATAGAAATAATATACAGAAAATAATTTTCGGGTATAAAAATTTATACTGATAAGCAGTTGGAACACGTTATAACTTGTCGCTTTTGTTGTATTTGTTGTATTGGTCAATGATGTATTTTTTTTCAAGTGATATTGAACCTTTTCTCTATATTTCAAATTGTTTCTAGCAAGATAATCTGCTAATTGCGTCAGTGATGGCATTATCAATATACCTAGTAAGTTTCTGAATCAATATTTAAATTCGCATTGTATGATCTTTTGCGTTCTGGTCGAAACATTTTTTTTAAGAAAAATTTCAATAAAAGACAGAAAGATTGAAATAAATAATTGGTTACTCCAACACCTTTGGGGGGTCCCCACAAGACCCCAGATAACTTTATCATTTGCTACAATTCTAAAAACTACTAATTTTGTAGCAGCATCCTATCTTGTCCTGCAAAAGACATTAAATAACAAATACCAGAACGCATTATTAACAACTCCAAATAAAAAAGATACGCCAAAAAACGTATAGACGGGGTCCTCAAAAGACTCCGCATGAGTATCTAAAGGTTAAGTTAATAGCGATTAATTTCAAAATCCTGAGATCTGATTAGTTCTTTATCAAAATTCAACCAATCATGCAACGAAGTAACGAATCAAACTTGAATTCAATCAAATATTTAATTCGGCTTCTATAAACACACCCCTAGATTTTCAAACTAAGTATAAAACTTGAGTTGTTTTCAAAAAAATTTTCAAATTAAATCAAAAAAATATAAATGTAAAAAGGGTACAGAGTGTCTCCATTTATCCTTGGGAAGCTATGATAAAATTTTGTCCGTCTATCTAAGAATCACCCTGTATTAACGGGAACATAAGAGGGAACCTAACAACTTTTAACCTCGTGTTTCGAACACAAAATTTTGGCGACTTGGTGGTACCAGAGATGTATAACCGTAATTTAAGTATTTTTAGAAAAAGCACTTTTAGTTTCTCATAACAGAAAGAAGTGCATTGTTCTAAGATTAATAGTTACTGAAGAAATTGTAGATGAACGCAAAATAGGGCCTTCCAAATACCGGTGAATTATTTCCAAACTACTCGGAACGTTAGACTTTTCAGAATTACATAAGCGTATTTTACATTTGACCGATAGTTCAACACGTCCAAACTTTAACCTTTTTTGAGCACAAGATTTTTGGCTCAAAATATGAACTGTGTTAATGATAGGTATAGGTATATAACTAAACTTACTAGAGTTATAACGTGCTAATTACAAATACATAAACAAAAATATAAAATATTCTCTTTTCACATCAAAAATAAAAGTAACAACTATTTTGTAGACACTGGATATATCATAAATAAAAAATTAACCCCATTTAAAACACTTTGTACAAGTACAGTGATTTTTTTTTTCAAATTAATATACATATTTGTCTAACTGCCATTTACTGAAATAAGCTAACAAAAATAAAACTTTTTTGAATAAACCGACAGATTGTTTCTGTTGTGTTTACTGGAAAACAAGAAAAATGTTTGATAAAAACGGTTTTCAATTTTAATGTAATTTACGAGTATATTCATGTTTTTGTCGCTTGTTCCCACTTATTTAATTTTAAAACTTTCAAGTATATAGGTTTTGTTAGAATAATAATTTTCTTTGATTTTGAGTAATATGATTATTTGTTAATTAATTTAGGAATTCGACAAAGTTTTGATTATTGGCTTGTGGCTCGTGAATGAAGATAATAGTTTAATAACCGCAGGAGTACTCTTAGCCTAAAACTTTGAGTGAAACTTGTGAAAATTTAGTGAGCCGATTGGAGTGCTGCAAGCAACTGGGCTCTTAAATTATTGATAAACCCGAGGTGCTTTAACCCACCACAAAAGCATTCGGATCATGAAATTTCATGGAAAAATAGCCAATCGTCCGCATAGCATCCGTGATTGTCCCCCGAGTTTTTTTTTCGTGTGTCAAATCAATTAAATTGGACAAAAGTTAGTCCGGGCCAAGTCCCTTTGTAAGTTACTTGTGTGTTGTTTTGGTTTTGAGTTAAATGGCGGTTGTTGTTTAGTTAGTTAAAATCGTGAATTAAAAACGGCGCTTAAGCTCTTTTTAAAAACAAAAATACGACTGGCGTCCGGATTTTCTACATTACGAGTAAATAACAAAAACAAAATGTCTGTAGTTCGGGCAACATGAATTTACGCTTTAGGAAAACAAGGTGCGAATTAGGAAAAACGGCCGTGGGATATAGGAACGGATTGGCAGAAGGAGCGCATGCCCCGATTTTCAGGATCCTGAAAACTGAAATACGAGTGATATCGCGGCGGAAAGGCAGTTCAGGCCACGTTTCGACCCCGGCATTTACAGTCCGGCTTTGCTAGACTCCGGGTCCGGAGTTTCAGTGCAATTAACTATTTTATCGCAGCGGCCATTCCAAGTGATACACCGGTTGTTGAAAGTCCCGGATTATCCTCGACAAAAACGTTATAATTTTCTTCCGGGTAACAGTTTTCATTTGAGCGGATAAATCAGAAACCACTTGTTACTGCTGATTTATGTCGAGAACTGGAACTGCAAACAAAGTAGTTGTGAGGAAAGATTCCGATCGATAGTTGATATCTGCCGGAGTGCATGTTTTTATGTCTCGTGACATATTACGAGTGTTTCGGATTATTTAGAATGTAAGGACGAGAAGAAGTGCTCGAACGATGGCGAGAAAAGCTCCTTTTTGGAGAGGGTTCGGACTCCTTCTTGTTCCTATAACATCGCTTCTTGTTACGTCCCTTCAGGCCTTTCAAGGTAAGATCCTTTCAATATCATTTCATACAACAAATCTTTTACTAATCAGACACTTCCAACAGTTGAGATATTTTTTTCTCTTAAAAACAACCAAAAAATACCCCAAACTTTCATCATAAAAAACATAAAGTTGGAATGACATATCCTGCCACCGTCAGAGATTATCGGTGATGGATTAGGGATCAAAGCTCCAGGCAATTTCTATTTATGCAGATGTTATCTGCTTAACTTTTGACATTGCTCTTTTCACCGATAAAATTGATATTTTTATGCCATTTCAACTTACAAATTTTATAAAATTTGTCAGAACAGATCTTTTCTCTAAAAATCACGGACAATAATAGTCTACACCTACTTAAAAAACACCAACCAAGTGTTGAATCATAAACACATCGTTTAAGGCAATCTTAAATCAATTAATAGTTATTTAATTATACATTATTTATTATATATTATCCAAAAAAAAAAAAAACAACAAAATAGTATTGAACAACTTTTCTGCAGTTGTTCCCGTTGCATATTCCAGTCCATTTCCACGAGTTGTGAATACGACCTCACTCGAAAAAGTCTTGCGGAAGCAGTGACACGGCCTGACGCCGGAAAATCTCACACGTCCAACATTACATTATATTTGGAGCAGTCATGAATTATTTTGGTGCTACTTTTATGTTATTTTAGCATCATATACTCATTTGATTTTCTCTTTTAGAAGCGTGATTTTTGCAATTATTTTAAACGAGTTGAAACATGATATTATAAATGTAATTTTATGCTCGTGTAGCACTCGAGGCAATTTTTCGATTACTCGATAAATAATTTTCTAAGAGCGAAAATGTAATTTTTACTAAGCCATATAATGCTTTTGCATTAATTAAATTAGCTTCAAAGGCATTATCAAGCATCGGGCTTGAATGGGTGAAGTTAATTAGAAACTACTACCTGTTATTTTCAACAGTTTTCAACCTCGTTAAAGTTCGATATCTTTTTATTTATTGATACAAATGGAAGCAATTATGTTGATTAGAGAAGACACTTGTGTTATGAAATAAACAAATTGATTAAATGTCCGCCACAAATAGAAAAGCTGAAAATAGGATTAATAATCATTGATTTTCATTTACTTGTAATTAATGGTGTGCCTCTATCTGTATATAAATAATAAGAAAAAGTCATACTAAACTTTATTGCTTTTGAGTACATGTCGTCAGAATATAAACTAAATTGTCGATCCCAAGACACGAAGTAATAAAAAAACTTTTTCTTTTTTCCCTTAGAGCTTTAAACTCGATCCCTGAGGGTAAAGCTTAGTGCATGAATTTTCTTTATCTCCTTTATAGCAATTTTTTTAATGAACCAAACATTTTATGTGACTGATATTCATTATATTGTACTAACTTTTTTATAAACAGAATAACCAATAGTCACGTCAGCTTTCTAACACAATATCATCATTGGTGAAAACTATCCAATAATCACGCAATATTTACGCCTACCGATGAGTACAATTGGCCAGCTCATAGTTCTGACACGCGATTAGTTCTTTCTCTAAAACATGAATATTTATTGGTTAACGTTTGCATGTTTGTCCATTCCGGTCAGGTGAAAAAAGCAAAAACCGTATTATTCCAGCGAATGAAACGTGAAAAAACATTTAAAATAAAATAAAAAGGGAAACGTTTAGCAATCCGTTTGATTAAGTATTCCTTCTCATCTAAGCTTATTTTACATGAAAAGCGTTCCCGAACAAATGCAACATTCAAAATCGTTCAGTCAAACATTACGAGTTTGTTTATTATACTGATAAAAATTCCACAAAATTGTTTCGATTTTCTGATTAAAAATTACTAATAATGCCCTGTTAATAAACACACTTTAAACTTCAATTTAATCTCAACCGCTTCTAACTTCTCTAATCCTTTACATTAGAGGCACTGAAGCGTGAAAATCAATCAAGGACTGACCTCAACCAATATTGACTTAACAGTGTACATAGAAAATATGTGAATTCTCACGCACAACCAAGAAAATTTTGGTCACACGAGAGACTTCAAACCCACATAAACACGTACACATGTACGGGGAAAATTGACCAACTTTGTCAACACCTATTGCCGCCATTTTATTTTGCTCATTGTGTGTAAAGTACTTTTAAGTGTGTTATTTATTATCAACTTTAACAGGAAGAGTTTCGGAATAGTAACCTCACTTTATAAAGTTTAAATCCTGTCCTATATTCACATATAAGCCCCACTTAAAGTCAAAAGGTAAAGACTTGAAAACTTTGAAAATGGATATGAGAAAATTGATACGGAAAATACACATCAAACGACGTTTAAACCACATTTTACATTGACTTTTAATTACTCGAAGTGTATTTAGCGTGATTAGTTGATTAAATATTTATGAATAATGCACTACTTGTGAGAATTTGAACAGGTAATATGACAATAATGTCAGTCTTACAATATATACAGTGGTGCCAATTTAATATGACAATATTATTTCATTCTGCAAAATTTATAATGATGAGACTCTCAAATAAAAAAATAAAAATAAAATGAGCATCCAAAACTAGAAAAAAAACGAATGTAAATAATAAAAGTCAATATTTTTTATTCCAGAGAACTTAAATCAGCCTCCACACAAAAAAAATCAATACGAATTCATAAAATATTTATACAGGAGCTATTTCATTTATAAGTGCCACTTTAGATAATTACAGTTATGTACGCTTTTCCCCCCATCATACTGACTCACAGTCTGTATTTAATTTTATTCAAATTACATGTTATTCTCCTGATTGGAGGATATAGTGTAATTACATCCAATCAAACAAAAAAGCGCAATGACAAAGTCACTGCTTGATGAAAATGATGGTGATATAGAACGAGGCGTCAAGACTGGCAGAATGATTGAAGATGCGTGCCATCTCTCGTTACGAAAAATAATAAATAAAGGAAAAAAATAGCCCCAATCTAGCTTCATTACACTAATGTGCCATATTAAAATACGTTCGGATTAATTCAGTTACTTATGATTAGCTATTTGTCTGAAAATTTTAAATTTGCGTAATTTGGGACATTATATTAGGACCAGCTGTTTCATCCGCTAAATGCTTTGTTTAATTAAAAATTAAAAACAACCCTTTTCAGTAATTAAATTAAAAAGCTCATCTTCGCTTAACTGGCAACACTTAGAATTAAAGAATAAAATCGGCAAAAAAATTGTGTATGGAATGCGAAATGACCTTGTAGGATTCGTCCCACGAGAGTTGCTGTTGCGTACCACAACAGTGAATTAATTTCAAGTGAATTAGTGTCTCGTTATTATGACGCGACACGTCCCGTGAGTATTGCAGTTGCGTATTGCATTAATTAATTGCACACGATTTGGGTCTGGTTTCGCTTAAAAAAGTTACGATTTAAAGTTGGCACGAATTGGAGGAGGTATTATATCGAGTTTGAGTTGAAAAACAAACTTTGTCTGGCGAAGTTCTCGCACTCCACACTTCTGAATCTATTGAATTCAAGGCAGACTTCCTAACCTGGGCTAAATCGCTCTTCCGAGAGTTTATCATGAGTATTAGGTTATGTCCGGTGGGTGAAGTTATATCTGGTTATATCGTTAGTGCTCGCTTCAATGCTCAGGGATCTTCCACCCATTCCAAGACCTGATTGTTTTACCTCACGCCATTCAAGCACGAAACATACGATAATTATTTTTTAGTAGATTTGCGCCGCAAGCTTCGGCTTGCCGAATAAAGCAAACGATTTAATTTCCTGAAATGACGCTATCTTTGTATTACCAGAAAATATCAAGGAAATGGTAGAGGATTTTACCAAAAATTCATCTTTATTACAAATTTAGTCGGCCAGAAAAAGCTTTTAAACAATTTCGTTTTTCTTCTTTTATCACAAAACTCGATGTTATTTAATATTAAATGAGCGCCCAGTTTACGTCTAACTGCGTAACATCGTCGGGTAGAAATTACATGTACCCTTGAATGTAGTAACGCTGTAGCTACCTGAATTAATAATAATACTAATAATCCACAAAGTAATTTTATTACAATAGAATAGATTATCTAGTGAAGCTTTCCGTTTTTTGATGACAAATAACAGAAGCCAAAAATTATTTTCATGATCGTTCCCTTAGATACATAAGGTGAAAACTGGTATACAGAGTGTTCGGTCCAAGTCGCCCCAGCTGATAACACCTAAACTTACTTCTTTTTTTCAAAAAGTAAATATTTAAGGAATAATATTCATTCTTAGCTTTCTTAATAAATGTATCAAAATTTTTTAGCACATACGGTGATACCAAATTTAGTTTTTCAAATGGAACACCTATGTTTTTAACCTTCAAACAATTATTATTGACATGAAAAATACTGTAAACCACTATTTATTACATTTTGCGTAACACAATACAATCAAAAAACATCTTAAATCTTAGAATGTTATAAGGAAATTGGTCGCGTAGCGTGATTTTTAATTTTAAAGGAAAGGTGTGAATAAAAAAAATGTTTGGATACAATTTAATTGTTGGACGACAAGTCTAATTTGTCAGTTAATGAGCGAGTTCTCTTATGGAAACTCTTGGATTCTCTTCGATTGATAACAGAACTTTCAGATTTCTATTTTCTTGTTCTTCACAAAGAACCACAGGTTTTTTTATTTTTAAGAAGCGAACCTATTCGTCTCAGTTGTTTTTCAATTCGACTAAACTTCCAACGATTTGGGTGAACTCTATTTGAGTATTTTTCTCTATAGGTACTGTCTTTCAGCTTCCGCTCTATTTTTATTTCACTTAATAAACACTTTAGGCTGATCTACCAATTCGTCGTAATTAATATCATCCTTTTTAAAAAATCTCAATAAGATTTATTGACAAATTAGCCTTTGTCAAACTAACAATTAAACGGTATCCAAGCATATTGCTTTTTGCATGAATACCTTGACAAGTAAAATCCGCCTAAGTTGCAAAATTTGTAATAAAAT